CCCAAAAAAAAAAAAAAAAAAAAAAAAAAAAAATGATAAAACAATATATATAACAATATAAATATTAATATATATAAGACAATAAATTATTACAATTATAAGTATATATATATATATATATATATATATATATATATATATATATATATATTAATATGTATATATAATTTTAATAATAAATACTATAATAATATAAAAATTTTACTTAAGTCTGGTAGAGTTTCATAATTATAAAAAAAAAAATTATAAACATCATAGTTGTTTATTTTTCTATTAGAAATGTTATTAAAGGATATACGTAATGTTTTTTTATAATTCCAATTAAAGATACCCCATAAATATAGATTTATATGTTTTTTGCTACATTTTTTTGTCATTTGCATTTTTTTAAGTTTTACATTTGTTTCTTTCATAATTGAATTTTTTTTTCCTCTTGAAAGTTTGGTTTTAAAAGAACTATCACTTGATATATCATTATTAACCTTTTTTTTTTCTATATCTATTTCATTTTTTAATTCATTTTTTTTTCTTCTTTTTCTTTCTTTTCTTATAAGTTTTTGATTCATCATTTTATAATTCTTATTTATTTTTTTATCTGTTTTTAACTTTTTTTTTATTTTATTGAGTTTTAAGTAATAAAAATTTGCATATGAATAGCCAATTAATGGAGTTAAAATAAAGTCACGATCTTCATATTTTTTTTTTTTCAAATTTTTACATTTAGGATTTAAAACTTTCACAATGACATGCTTGCATAATTTATTAATATATATATGCATAACATAAATATATAATAAAATATTTACATCTTCTTTACAGAATCTATATAGCATTTCTATTTTTTTTATTTTTTCAAATTCTAATAACTTTTTAATATGTTCTGAATTCCTATTTTTAAGGAAGTCATAATTGTTTGTCTGTATATCATTCAGTATTTTTAAAGTATCGCTGTTATTAATACACTTGTCATCTTTATTTATAAAATCATTGTTGCATTTAAAATTTTTTTCTATTTTTACATTTTCTATTTTTGTATGTTTCATTAATTCATTTTTATTACAAGTATTTTCATTTTTGATATTTACATTTTCTATTTCATCATTTATACTTTTACCTTTATCATTTATATTATCATCTTTATTATTTATTCTTTCATCTTTATTATTTATTCCTTCATCTTTATTATTTATTCCTTCATCTTTATTATTTATTCCTTCATCTTTATTATTTATTCTTTCATCTTTATTATTTATTCCTTTATCTTTATTATTTATTCTTTCATCTTTATCATTTATATTATCATCTTTATTATTTATATTATCATCTTTATTATTTATATTATCATCTTTATTATTTATTCTTTTATCTTTATCCTTTATATTATCATCTTTAATATTTTTATTATCATCTTTATCATTTGCAATTTTGATTGTATTATCATTTTTGTTATTAATATTTTCGTCCTTTTTATTTGAGGCATCATTGTTTCCGTTTACATTTTTAATATTTATATTTTCATTTTGAATATTTATATTTTCATTTTTAGTATTTAAATTTTCATCCTTAATATTTACATTTTCTATTTTAGAAATTACATTTTTACTTTCATTATTTATATTTTCATTCTTTATAAAATTATTATTAATATTTTCACTTTCATTATTCATATTTTTATTTTTTAAATAATTATTATTTGTATTTTCATTTTCATTGTTTATATTTTCATTTTTATTGTTTATATTTTTATTTTCATTATTTATATTTTTATTTTCATTTTCATTCTTTATATTTTTATTTTCATTTTTAATATTTAAAATTCTATTTTCATTACTTGTATTTTTATTATTATGACTTGTTTTTTCGTTTTTTTGGGAAGTATCTTTTTCATTGATAATATTTAATTTTTGTTTATTATTATCAGAAATTTTAAAAAAGTTTGTAATTTTATTTATATATGTATTTTTTTCTTCATAATTTATATTAATAGTTGATTTTTTTTGTGCTAGATAATTTTCTTTATTTGTATCATTATCTAATGAGTATCCTTTTTTGTGAAATCCTTTTATATCTGTTTTATTATTTATGCTATCTTTTTCTTTTTCTTTTTCTTTTTCTTTTTCCTTTTCTTTTTCTTTTTCTTTTTCCTTTTCTTTTTCTTCTTTTTCTTTTTCTTTTTCCTTTTCTTTTTCTTTTTCCTTTTCTTTTTTTTCTTTTTCTTTTTCTTTTTCCTTTTCTTTTTCTTTTTCTTTTTCCTTTTCTTTTTCTTCTTTTTCTTTTTCTTTTTCTTCTGTTTCTTTTTCTTTTTCATCTGTTTCTTTTTCCTTTTTTTTTCTTCTATATTTTTTTTCTTTTTCTGTATTAACTTCTTTCTGTTCCTTTTTTCTTCCTTTACTTTTTTTTTCTTTATCTTTTATTACTTCGTCTTGTTCTATGTCTGTTTTTCTTTTTTTAAATTTCTCTTCTTTTTCTTTCCTTTTTTCATCTTTCTTTTGTTCATAATCTTTTTTTCTCTTTCTAATTTTTTTATATTTTTCTTTCTCATTTTCATTTCCTTTCACTTTTTCTTTTTCTTCTTGCTTTTTCTTATAATGTTTATATTCTCTTACATTTTTTTCTTGAGTTTGTTCTTCATTCTTTGTATTTTCTTTTAATTCTTTATTTGTTTCTTTCATTTTTTCATGCACATTTTTGTTTTCTTCATCTTTTTGTAGTATGTTTTGAATTTCTTTTTCATCATTTTCATAATTTGATTTTCTCAAATTCTGGTAATTCTCATATTTTACAAAAGGTAGATTATCTATATATAATTTTTTTGAGTGATCTATTTTTTTTATAATTTCAAGAATTTCAAATATATCAATATCTATATTAAGACATGAGAAATAATATGAATCGTTAAACCAAAAAAATGAGGGTATAATTAAAAAATATGATAAAATGGTATTTTTATTTTTGAATATACTTTTAATAAATCCTCTATATATAACCCCTTTAGGTGATCTAAATTTTGCTAATAAATTTCCTTTTAATTCGTATTGAAAACATTCTCCTTCTACAACTTTTTTTTTTCTTACAACCTTTTTGATATTATCATCGTTTTTCAATTCTTCAGATGAACTTTTTTCATCATTATTTTGATAATTATTTATATCATTTTTATTGTGATATTTTTCTTGAGTGGATATTTCAGAAACAACATTTGTTTTGCTTTTAGTATCAGTATTATGATCAGTTTTTTCATTTGTATCTTTTTTGTTCTTATCATATGTAGAAATCATGTCATTTATATCATCATTTGTTAATAAAACATTATTTTGTAATATTATTCTTACATCTATTTTTTTTATTAAATTTAAAAAAAGATAATCTGCATGAAAATGTTTTTCACTCTTATAAATTTTTATTAGATTATTAATCATAATATTTTGTAAATTCGTGTTATTAACATACAGTCTTTTTATTTCAAATAATTTCATAGCTAACTCAAATGTAATTTCATTCTGTAAATTTTTACAATAGCTTGTTTTTATATTTTCCCACTTTTTATGAAAAAAAACTTTATAATGTTTAAATGCCTTTTTATATTGTATTAGATATTTATAAGATTCAAATGATTGAATAATATAAAATATTTTACTTGATTTTTTTCTTTCTTCATTTGCTACTTTCGATTTATTTATGCTTTTATGTGGAGCTTTCTCAATCTGTTTACTTTTATGCTCATATTCAAATGAATGGTTGTCATTATGGTTTTTTTTTAAAGTTGAATTGGAATTAGAAATATTTTTCTCTTTTTTACTAAAATAACTTAAAATATTTCTTTCTTTTTTTTCATAAATTTTATTACTATTTTTTTCATTTGTAATAGCACTTTCATTTATGCCATCTAATGACTCTTTACTTAAGGAATTAATTAAACTGTACACATATTTGCTATTATTTAAATTATTTAAAATTTTTAAATAGTTAGCTAAAGAAACTTTTTTGTTTGAATTTATATGAATATTATTTAACTTCAGTTCAGTATTAAAATTTATTATTCTTCCTATTCCTATTTTACTTTTATCTTTTTGCTTAAAAAATATTATATCATTATGCTCAAAATTTTTTAATTTGTTTTTTTCTTTATTTTCGATAAATTTATTTTCATTAATTTTTTGCTTTTCCATTTAGTAAACTTAATTTTCTTCTTAAACTAAAAAAAAAAAAATTAAAGTAAAATGGTTCAAAATAATATAATCATTAATAGCAATCATTTGATTATTATTATTTTCACATAGAAAATAAGAAAAAATAAATTACACATAACAACATATACTTTTTGTAAAAGAAAAAAATGTAGTAAATATATTTAGTTGTAAAATAAAAAAAAAAAAAAAAAAAATATATATATATATAAATAATAAAGCGAATAAAAGATATTATAAAAAATAAAAGTAAAATATTAACAATAAAGAAAAATGCAAAATCATTTATTATTCATTTTTTCTTATAATCATCATTTTAATGATTTAACAGACAGAAAAAATGAACTTCATAATAAAAAATTTATTTATATTTCTCATTTATAATCAAAATAGATATATTTAAAAATTTACATTAAAAAAAATAAAAAATATAGAAAAAAAAAAAAAAAAAATAATTAATATGCACAATTAAAAATAAAAGAAACATAAACTCTATGTAAAATATCACAAAAAAATTACACTGATATTTTTTTTTTTTTTTTTTTTCAAAATATTATATACAATTTAAGAATTATTTATATTTGTTAAGTTTTCATTTTTAACTATTCTTCTTTACTTTATAAACTAAAATTATTAGCAATAAAATGTACAATAAAATATGATAAAAAAAAAATATATATATAGAGTAATATGAGAAAATATAAAATATATATATATATATATAATAAAATTTTATAAACAATTTCAATCAAATTTTAAGCGATAACAGAATAAAATATAAAAAGATAAAATATAATTTAAAAGAATATAAAATAAAATTTTATATAATTATTTAAAACAAATTTTAACAATACTAAAATGAAATTTCAAGAAATATCTAAAATAAGTTAAAAATTTTTAAAATAAAATGGAATAATTTTTTTTAAAAAATATTGTTAAAATGTACATATTTTAAAAAAAAAAAAAAAAAAAAAAAAAAAAAAAAATTCAATATTGAAAAAAATTTTTTAATATTTTAATAGTTTTGTTCATGAAGTAAATGAAAAATAAAATATAATAACAAAAAATAAAAAATAAAAATAAAACAATGAAAGTATACATATAAAAAAAAAAATGTATATCCAGTTAAATAGAAACAAAAAGAAAAGAAAACATATTGAAGAAGAGAAATTAAAAGTAATATGAAAAGATAAATAATTAAATAAAAAATAAATATTAAACCTATTACAAATATATATATATATATATATATACTTATATAGAAAATTATATTTTTAAGCCTTATTTTTTACTCAATAAAAGTTTAATATTATTTATTTTATTTCTTAATTTTTTTATTTTTATGTATTAAAAGGAACAAGAAACTGCAAAAATATACGCTGAATTCGTTCGTTCATTTGAAGGAAATACTTTTGATAAAGATAATAAGTTTGTTAAAAGTAAGGAATAAATAAAAAAAAAAAAAAAAAGATATACATTTTTTTTTAATAAATATATTTATTAGTAATAAAAATATTATATAAAAATATAATTTTTCTTTTTATTTGAATAGGTAAAATTTTAAATCCATCAACAGGCGAAATTATATCAGCAGAAGATGAAAATAAAAAAGTAAAAAACAAATTTCTAAAGGTAATAAAAAAAAAAAAAGTATAATATATACGAAGAAATGAAAGATAAAATTATTGTAACTATTTTGTAAATATTAATGAGTTTTATTTTTGAATTAATTTACTATAAATAATTAATTCTATGATATGCTTATAATAAGTAAATCTTTATTAATTCATAATTTTTTTTTACATTCTTCTTTAGAGTAATAATTCAAGTGAAGAAGGAAAAAAATATGATGAACATGTAGAAAATAAAAATAACACAGCAAAAGTGAAGGAAATAGATAGTTTTTTAGAAGGTTATTTTTTTTTTTTTTTATATATATAATTAAAAATATTTATAAAAAGAAAAATGTAAAGTATAGAAAAAATGTATATATTATTTATATTTCACATATCTATAAATAGTAACAAAAAAAAAAAAAAAAAAAAAAAAATTNTTTTTTTAAAAAAAAAAAAAAAAAAAAAAAAAAAAAATTATTATTTATTTATTTTTTTTTTTTTTAAATAAATATATATATAAATAATAAAGAAATCAAACAAAAACAAAGAATATTGGATGAAAGAAAAATTTTAAAAGAAAAAGCTCAATTAGCTAAATCAGAAGAAGAAAAAATTAAAATTAATAAAAAAATAATAGAAATAGAAAAAAATGAAACAATATTATCCTATGTACCGAAAAAAGAAAAAGTTGCTAATTTGTATTTAGGAAATTTATCTCCAGAAGTAAGCAAAAGTTGTACATATAATGTGAATGAAAATACATGCATTTATATAATAGAAATATTAAATTTCGTAAAAAATAAACACATATTAATAAATTATATATAATATTTATATTATTTCTTATGTGAATTTTTATATATTTTTATTTTATATATTTTTTAGGTTACGGAAGAATATTTATGTCAAAAATTTGGGAAATTTGGGAAAGTTAACAGTGTAAAAATAATGTATCCTCGTAAAGATGAAGATAAAAAAAAAGTACGAATATGCGGTTTTGTATGTTTTGATAATAGAGAAGATGCAGAAAATGCGAAAGATGCATTAGATGGCATAGAAATGTATGGAAACATTGTGAGAGTTGGGTGGAGTAAAGCAATACCTAAAATAGTAAATAATCCTAGAACGGAAATGAATAATTTAAATATTAACAATTTTAATGTGAATAATAACAATTCAAATAAAAAAATTGAAATATTGTTACCAGAAGATAAAAAAATAAAGAGAATAATTGACTTATTAGCTAAATACGTTACTGAAGAAGGATATACATTTGAAGAAACTATAAAAAAAAATGAAAAAGATAATCCATTATTTAATTTTCTTTTTAGCAAATCAGATTTATATTATTATTACAAATGGAGAGTTTTTTCTTTTGCTCAAGGAGATAGTTATAAAAACTGGAGATCAGATCCATTTCAAATGTTTGCAAATAGTTATATTTATGTGCCTCCTATATTGAATAATACAAAAACCAATTTCCACAAAAAGAAGGAAAATACGTAAAAATAATAAGAAGAATAATATTATTTAAATAAAATTGCATCATATATATTATTAATACTTAAAAAAAAAAAAAAAAAAAAAAAAAATTCGTTTT